ACACTGTAGAAGTAAAGATCTATGACATAAGACACTGTGTATGGAATTACAGATCTAACACGTCAAAATAAAAAAAAACACAGACACAGACACAGTCACAAACTGGGGCACCGGCACAGGCATAAATACAGGCACGAACACAGATACAGGTAAAGCCAAAGCACAAATACACACGGTACAGACACAGGCACAAGACACAGGTACAGACAGAAATACCGACACAAACACAGACACAGTCACAAACACAGACACAGACACAAACACAGTCACAAACTGGGGCACAGGCACAGTCACAAACACAGTCACAAACACAGGCACAAAGCACAGACACAGGCAGAAAAGCAGACACAGATATAGGAACAAACACAGGCACAGTCACAACCACAGGCACAGACACAAACACAGTCCATAAACACAAAGACAGTCATAAACACAGCCACAAAGACAGACACAGGCAGAAAAAACAGACAAAGGCACACACACACAAACACAAGCACAGACATATACATCCCGCACAAACACAGACAAAGGCACACACAGGCACGGGAAACAGACACAGATATAGGAACAAACACAGGCACATACATATACATCGGCACAAGCACAGACAAAGGCAAACACAGGCACAGAAACAGACACAGATATAGGAACAAACACAAGCACAGACACAGACACATTCACGGACACAAACACACCCGCGGGCAAAGGCACTGACACAGTCAAAGGGCACATGCACGGGCACAGACGCAGGCGCAGACACAGACAAAGGCATAAATATAGGCAGAGAGACAGACAGACACCGGCACAGACAAAAACACTCACAGACACAGGCACATGCAGAAACTAAAACACAGGCACAGGCAGAGAGAGACATGAAGGCATAATGCATCACAGACACAGGCACAAACACAGACAGACACATAAACTCAGACACAGGCACAGGCAAAGGCAACAGCACAGACACCCAAGTGACTGACATCATGAGCATCGATCTACACAATCGGGACACGATGACCTGCACAAAGCAAGCGAGGAAACCTGTCCTCCCCCTACGATTACACTTAAGCCAGGCATGGGTTACTGAGGTCTCGTTGTAGCGAATGCATGCCCTGTCCTCCCCCTACGATTACACTTAAGCCAGGCATGGGTTACTGAGGTCTCGTTGTAGCGATTGCATGCCCTGTCCTCCCCTACGACTACGCCAAGCCAGCCATGGGTTACTGAGGGTCTCGTTGTAGCGAATGCATGCACTGACTTTATACTGTAGAGTTAAGCTCAGAATTATTCAGCCACCCTTCATATCAGTAAAGGATTGTCAGATAATGGTGCAAATATACTGAAGCTCCTTGTTCCAGTTTACTTGTGTGTGAATGTTAAAGTGTGTCGACTCACATAATACTGTCAGAGATTTCTTCTGCAGAGGAAATGTCCCGAGCATTGCCCTGCTGTCAGACGCCTTTCGCTCCAACGTTTCAAGTGTAACGGGAAATGTAATAAAGAACTATCCTGTTTATTGCATTTGTGTTACCGCAGTCATTGTGGCCGGCCATGGCTATATTTAGTACAAAGAAGAATTTGACGATAGCGGGTTAGATGTGTGTGGACAGGTGTCGGGTGTCGAACAGGTGCTCTGATAAGGTATTTGATTTGACTTTAATATGTCGTCATCGTATAATGGTTCATTAGTAATACTTATTACAGTTCATCAATAGGTTTGTTTTAGTTCTTGTGAAACTAAGGCTGCATGGGTGTTCTGAGAAGGTATACAGCCTGTTCAGTGTTGCTATCTATTGAACATAGTATTAATGTCAGAGAGAGAGAGAGAGAGAGAGAGACAGACAGACAGACAGACAGACAGACAGACAGACATGCAGGCAGGCAGACACAGAAAGAGAGACAGACAGACAGACAGGACAGACAGACGCAGGTAGACATGCAGGCAGGCAGACAGACAGACAACGGTGGATGTGTCGGCCGAGAGAGAGAGAGAGAGACTGAGAGAGCATGTCAGCTGTGGATATGAAGGTGTGTTTACCTTAGCATTATAATAAAAACATAACGCCAACATACCGGTGACATGTTGTTGACCATTCGTAATATTACTGGATAGCTTTGCTAGGAGTTGAATGGCTGTTGGTAGAGTAAGGTGTTAAATTAAAGTGAATCCCAAGTAGGCAATTACCACGGATGGATAGTACTTTGTAAATACCTTGTCCATGATTTACGGAAATCACACAGATTGCTTTTACTACTCACTCGATTAGTGTCACAGTTTTGTAGACGATACCGATAGTCGTAACATTTCCAGCTTTTGTCTGGTGTAAAGACAAAGTCCAGCCCATATCTCTTCGAGCTGGTACGTTTGGTGACTTACTGCGAACTTAGAGAAATAATCTACATGCTCGGTTTTGTACAGCATTTATACAACTAAACAAGAGGCAACCTCTTCATTGTTAGGGTTGGCATCCCCGAAAACCTGGGTTTGAATTGGTCTAAGAAATTGCGTAGATCAATTCTCAATATATATCATGGACTTATTCATTCAATATCTAAAACAAGACTGTTCAATACAGTGTTGGACAGTGGTATTTTCCCAGAGACCTGGAACACTGGCGTGATAATCCCGCTGTACACATCTGGTTCTGTGAGCGATCCAAATGACTACCGAGGCATCACCCTACACAATGTGCAAGGCAAGATTGTCATACATGTATTCTCGGAGAATCGTCTCCGAATCTGGATGGCTCAATCATCTGTTATCAGAATCTCAAGCAAGATTCCGACCTAATAACTCGACGATAGACCATGTCTTTACTCTCCAAGCCCTAGCTACAAAGTACATGTCAAAGCTAAACGTGTTTTCTACTGCGCGTTCATTGGTTTTCAGGAAAGCCTTTGACTTTATTGATAGACAAGAACTCTTGGATATGCTGTTTAACAAGTGATATCGATATAAACTATTCACTATCCTTAAAACATTTATGAATCTGTTAAGGCGTGTGAAAGGTGAGGGTTGGGCGTGGGGAGGGTGGAGTGTAACGTCTTCATTCACATCTTCCTGTGGCGTCAGACAGGGCTCTGTCCTGAGTTCAGTATGTATTCAAATTGTGAAAAAGTGATATTTTTGTTTCTCAGCACATGGAAGACATTGTCTTATTACTGTTCGCTGATGATGTTTCAGCGTGTGCCTGCACCGTGGTTGTTTTGCAAAACAGCTTGATGTAGTCCATGCATACTGTCAGAAATGAGGACTTGAAATCAATATGAAGAAAAACGAATGTTTTTGTATTCCGAAACGGTGGAAATGTGAGCAGAAAGAAACAGTGGCACATTAGGAACCCACATGTTAAAACTGCAACCTATTATAGCTACCTTGGTGTTCCTGTTTTCATCATCATTGAAGTGGTCAAAAGCATGTCAAACTATCTCCTCAAAGCTAGTAAAGTCATTTTCTCCATGTATAGATTATTTCGTAAGCATAAGCATATTTCCTTCACTGTTCCTTTTTGTAAAACAATTATAGTAAAACATGCCTGTATTACTATATGGTTCAGGAAATCTAGGGCTAGGTATTATGAATTCATAGAAAGGTACACACTACATACTTCAAATTATTTCTAAATGTTGGCAAGAATGTAGTAGATCCTGTGGTGCACGTGTCTACTCAAATACGTCTCATAAAGGGTTTGGTTAAAATTATTAAGAATGGAATCCACACCACCATCCTCACCAGCGTTATTTATGCCTAAAAAACTTGATGAAAATGAGTAAGGTAAACATACATGGGTGTCAGATGTCCGTCACTTACTTTTCACAACAGGTTGTTCATATGCTTGGATAGCGTAAGATGCAGGAAACATGCACATGTTTATCAGTACTTTACACAAAGCGTCCGTGATATATATTCCCAGGACTGGCATTACTCACTTTGCATATCCATATTGTTAAAGAATTACTCGACTTTCAAATTATCATAACAGCCTGAACTGAAAGCCTGAAAGCACTAGTGACAAGACCTTCATTCGTGCATTCTGTAAATTACGTATTGCATTGCATTCGTTTAAAGTAAATCTACTGAGACAAAACAATTATGTAGCAGGGCGTGGAGTCATCCCATAGATAACATCCTTACCTTGTCAGCTTGCTGACGGGGTTAACGTCTTTGGTCATGAGGACAAGGCGTCCGACTTCGGATCAGAAGGTCCGTGGTTCGAATCACGGGACTCGGAAATTTTATGGCCGCTACATTGGCCTCAACTTTGGGCTGAGCTGAGTTCATATGAAATTTGAGCAAAATAAGTCTCAGTACCCAACTATGCAGCTCGGGTCGTGCCTTCTGTTGACGGGGGAGTATGTAGCAGGGCGTGGAGTCATCCCATAGATGACATCCTTACCTTGTCAGCTTGCTGCCGGGGTTAACCTCTTTGGTCATGTTGACAAGGCGTCCGACTTCGGATCAGAAGGTCCTTGGTTCGAATCCCAGCACGGGACTCGGAAATTTTATGGCTGCTACAAATCTACTAATGAAAACATTGCTGTATGCACAAGTTGTAACCAAGGAAATCTCGAAGATGAGTACCATGTATTACTTGTATGTGAAAGGTATGCGGATCTCCGAACAAAATATTTACATAGTATCAATTACAAATGTCGCATATTATCAATTACAAATGTCGCATATTGTCAATTACAAATGTCGCATATTATCAATTACAAATGTCGCATATTATCAATTACAAATGTCGCACTTCTGTCGCAATTTTCATGAAACGTGTTTTCCTTATCATGAAGATGTACATAAGTTCTTGCTGTCACCATGCTACGGCTATGTCGTCACAATCAATTGTACTTTGGGCCACATGGACAAAATACCGAATAAATGAATTGAACTGGATTGTGTGGTCAAGACACGCTTATTTCCAGATTTATAGCATAGCTTAAATGTTGTTGACTTCATAGTTCCATGGTTTTGAAGTTTGTGTTAATTGTTCATGTTCTAGCAGGTAAAGTACCCGCTAGAGAGCTCTCAGTGATGTGGCTGCAAACAGCTCTACTATTGCTTGGTGAGTTCATGTACACTGGTTTAGAACCAAGAGTAGTGTAGCAGTACCATGATCTCAATGACAAAGTTGTAGGAAAGTTATATGAATGGTATCATCTGCTGATAAATGACTTTCTCTGTGGGGCAGTATTCCAAACTCAGACTGGCTTAAGATATACAGTTTCGCTCCACCATTCATGTATAGTGTAATAAAACACTTTCGCCCTGAACTATTATAGTTAAAGTACGAGGACGCTGGCGTCCGAGTGCTTTAACGTTATAATAGTTCAGGGCAAAAGTGCTTTATGACACTATACATGGTGGTAGAGCGAACTGTATTCCTTCTTAGATGCCAAATGTCATACTTTCTAAGGATAATTACGATTAATTTAAGGCAGAAAACAAGCGACGGTGTCGGTGACCTAAATTAAGAATCCTCGCACAGGGCTAACTTGCGTGCTGTTCTAGTGATGTGTCTGACCCCTACGTTAAAACAAACGTTACCAGAAAAAAAAATGATAACAGTTTGATGACGGTTTAAGTTCGGATTAAATATCTTCTGATTTATTTTAATTACATCTGCCATTAACGTAAACCATATGAGGCAATATGAACGTCGCATTTCCACTACCAACGTAAGTTTAGATCAGTACATCCAGATAAAGCTGAGTAGTCAAGCGACATTCCACGATTGCATTGTGGGAATGCAAACATTGCGAACGTTACCTTGTCGCTGAAAACGCGTGAGTCGAATTGAAACATTTTAACCGTTGTAAAACATAAACGTAATCTTTCCACCAGTGATGTTAGCTGCGTGAAGCAACTGCAAACCAAGAAACGGGATACAACGGAGTAGTTTACTGTAGGATGCCGTACGAGGCGATGACAACTGACATGCATCGTGACGTCGCTTACATTGTGACGTAATGTGAACTTGTTCGATTACGAGGAGGCACACTAGAATGGCACAATGACGGATAACGTCATTCAACTGTTACGTCATCAAAAACTATACCTAAATTGTCTGATAATGTTGTTGTTTTTCGACTGTTCTAACCGCTAGGCATCTTAGAATATCAATTACAATGGGCATATGTGTTATATTACCTTTTCAATTTAAGGGTATGTTCGATTTTTGTTTTTCCTGTTTCAGTATGGCATAATTCCATTCCAGCATCACAAGCTCATGGCGTTGAGGACTGCGACTATGGAGTATATGGCGAGAACTGCGACAGGCCCTGCCCCTCCAACTGTGCAACTGCCCAACAGAAAAACCTCACACACTGCAATAAGTACACTGGGGAATGTTCTGAGGGATGTGTTCGTGGTTACCATGGCGACCAGTGTAATATATCCTGCAGCAGAGGCTGTTTAAACGAAACCTGCAATATTGGAGATGGACATTGTACGTTAGGGCTGCCATGGGAACTACAAGGGGAGTTCTGCAATGTGACAATAGGTATGTTAGATCTTTGGACGATATTGTATCTTAAGCCAGCAAATATTGCAATTGCTAATAGACATACGTATTTTTTCAAGAAATAACTTTGATAAAGCTGGAAATACGCGTCAGATGAATGTAGTGCGTATGTTCAATCAGGCCAGAATACATGACGTTTGGTAGAACAGAGATCATGGAGACACATTATTTATACCATACGTGTCATCAAATCCCCAGGAATTAAGTTTTGGCAACCTCAGAGAAAACAACCATTTGTAACATGGATAGTGTCACGTGAAAAATATAAGGCAAAACGTATTTCTTTGAACATCAGTAGGGCCCTGTTTAGAAATGTGGAAACAGTTACATAATCCCTCTTTAAAAGTTCAGAACATTAGTCAAAAAATCAGTGCCAACTAAAGGACATCGAGAAAGCATACATAAATAAAACGAAAAACCTTTTCCACATTCACAAGACATCTCTAATAAAAGTAGTGTCCGTTGTATAGATCTGAATTTATCATGTATCTTTGTATGTTCAACATAGAACGTCTGAGCAAAACAATAACATGTCTTAACTATTCTCAGAAAAATGTTGGTGTAAAGGAAAAATGGCTGTGAAATTACAGGAATAAACCAGTGATGTTAGCAGGTGTTCGAGAAAGGGGATATTAAGCATGTCCTACCACCCACCATTCACAAAATCGTCTTTGTTCGTCAAACTTATTTCATCTTCATTTTGCTTTTGCGTTAAAGAAACTGTGGTGACGACACATACAACGTTACGAACAACAGAGGCGTCTCCCGTAGAGCCTGCAGCAGATCTCGCAGTGATTATCGTTCCTATCGTCGTCGTCATCATCCCTCTGTCTGGTCATAGTGGCTGTCTACATGGTGTAAGTGTACAACTGACACAACTACTCATTCATCATACTCTGTCTGGTCATAGTGGCTGTGGTGGTCTGCATGGTGTAAGTGTACAGCTGACACAACTACTCATTCATCATACTCTGTCTGGTCATAGTGGCTGTGGTGGTCTGCATGGTGTAAGTGTACCGCTGACACAACTACTCATTCATCATACTCTGTCTGGTCATAGTGGATGTGGTGGTCTGCATGGTGTAAGTGTACAGCTGACACAACTACTCATTCATCATCACACTCTGTCTGGTCATAGTGGCTGTGGTGGTCTTGCATGGTGTAAGTGTACAGCTGACACAACTACTCATTCATCATACTCTGTCTGGTCATAGTGGCTGTGGTGGTCTGCATGGTGTAAGTGTACAGCTGACACAACTACTCATTCATCATACTCTGTCTGGTCATAGTGGCTGTGGTGGTCTGCATGGTGTAAGTGTACCGCTGACACAACTACTCATTCATCATACTCTGTCTGGTCATAGTGGCTGTGGTGGTCTGCATGGTGTAAGTGTACAGCTGACACAACTACTCATTCATCATACTCTGTCTGGTCATAGTGGCTGTGGTGGTCTGCATGGTGTAAGTGTACAGCTGACACAACTACTCATTCATCATACTCTGTCTGGTCATAGTGACTGTGGTGGTCTGCATGGTGTAAGTGTACAGCTGACACAACTACTCATTCATCATACTCTGTCTGGTCACAGTGGCTGTGGTGGTCTATATGGTGTAATTACCGCTGGACACAACTACTCATTCATCATACTCTGTCTGGTCATAGTGACTGTGGTGGTCTGCATGGTGTAAGTGTACAGCTGACACAACTACTCATTCATCATACTCTGTCTGGTCATAGTGACTGTGGTGGTCTGCATGGTGTAAGTGTACCGCTGACACAACTACTCATTCATCATGCTCTGTCTGGTCATAGTGACTGTGGTGGTCTGCATGGTGTAAGTGTACCGCTGACACAACTACTCATTCATCATATTCTGTCTGGTCATAGTGGCTGTGGTGGTCTGCATGGTGTAAGTGTACAGCTGACACAACTACTCATTCATCATACTCTGTCTGGTCATAGTGACTGTGGTGGTCTGCATGGTGTAAGTGTACAGCTGACACAACTACTCATTCATCATACTCTGTCTGGTCATAGTGGCTGTGGTGGTCTGCATGGTGTAAGTGTACAGCTGACACAACTACTCATTCATCATACTCTGTCTGGTCATAGTGGCTGTGGTGGTCTACATGGTGTAAGTGTACCACTGACACAACTACTCATTCATCATACTCTGTCTGGTCATAGTGGCTGTGGTGGTCTGCATGGTGTAAGTGTACCGCTGACACAACTACTCATTCATCATACTCTGTCTGGTCATAGTGGCTGTGGTGGTCTGCATGGTGTAAGTGTACAGCTCACACAACTACTCATTCATCATACTCTGTCTGGTCATAGTTGCTGTGGTGGTCTGCATGGTGTAAGTGTACAGCTGTCACAACTACTCATTCATCATGCTCTGTCTAGTGATAGTGACTATGGTGGTCTACAAGGCGTAAGGGTACAGCTGACACAACTACTCATTCATCATACTCTGTCGGGTCACAGTGGCTGTGGTGGTCTATATGGTGTAAGTTTACCGCTGACACAACAACTCATTTATCATACTCTGTCAGGTCATAGTCTCTATGGTTGTCTACATGGTGTAAGTGTTCAACTGACACAACTACTCATTCATCATACTTTGTCTGGTGATAGTGACTGTGGTGGTCTGCATGGTGTAAGTGTACCGCTGACACAACTACTCATTCATCATGCTCTGTCTAGTGATAGTGACTGTGGTTGTCTGCATGATGTAAGTGTACAGCTGACACAACTACTCATTCATAATATTCTGTCTGGTCATAGTGGCTGTGGTGGTCAGCATGATGTAAGTGTACCGCTGACACAACTACTCATTCATCATACTCTGTCTGGTCATAGTGGCTGTGGTGGTCTGCATGGTGTAAGTCTACAGCTGACACAACTACTCATTCATCATACTCTGTCTGGTCATAGTGGCTGTGGTGGTCTGCATGGTGTAAGTGTACAGCTGACACAACTACTCATTCATCATACTCTGTCTGGTCATAGTGCCTGTGGTGGTCTACACATGGTGTAAGTGTACCACTGACACAACTACTCATTCATCATACTCTGTCTGGTCATAGTGACTATGGTGGTCTACATGGTGTAAGTGTACCACTGACACAACTACTCATTCATCATACTCTGTCTGGTCATAGTTGCTGTGGTGGTCTGCATGGTGCAAGTGTACAGTTGTCACAACTACTCATTCATCATGCTCTGTCTGGTGATAGTGACTATGGTGGTCTACATGGCGTAAGGGTACAGCTGACACAACTACTCATTCATCATACTCTGTCGGGTCACAGTGGCTGTGGTGGTCTATATGGTGTAAGTTTACCGCTGACACAACAACTCATTTATCATACTCTGTCAGGTCATAGTCTCTATGGTTGTCTACATGGTGTAAGTGTTCAACTGACACAACTACTCATTCATCATACTTTGTCTGGTGATAGTGACTGTGGTGGTCTGCATGGTGTAAGTGTACCGCTGACACAACTACTCATTCATCATGCTCTGTCTGGTCATAGTGGCTGTGGTGGTCTGCATGGTGTAATTGTACCGATGACACAACTACTCATTCATCATATTCTGTCTGGTCATAGTGGCTGTGGTGGTCTGCATGGTGTAAGTGTACAGCTGACACAACTACTCATTCATCATTCCCCTGTCCTGGTCATAGTTGCTGTGGTGGTCTGCATGGTGTAAGTGTACAGCTGACACAACTACTCATTCATCATACCCTGTCTGGTCATAGTTGCTGTGGTGGTCTACATGGTGTAAGTGTACCACTGACACAACTACTCATTCATCATACTCTGTCTGGTCATAGTGGCTGTGGTGGTCTGCATGGTGTAAGTGTACCGCTGACACAACTACTCATTCATCATACTCTGTCTGGTCATAGTGGCTGTGGTGGTCTGCATGGTGTAAGTGTACAGCTGACACAACTACTCATTCATCATACTCTGTCTGGTCATAGTGGCTGTGGTGGTCTGCATGGTGTAAGTGTACCGCTGACACAACTACTCATTCATCATACTCTGTCTGGTCATAGTGGCTGTGGTGGTCTGCATGGTGTAAGTGTACAGCTGACACAACTACTCATTCATCATACTCTGTCTGGTCATAGTGGCTGTGGTGGTCTGCATGGTGTAAGTGTACAACTGACACAACTACTCATTCATCATACTGTCTGTCTGGTCATAGTGGCTGTGGTGGTCTGTCATGGTGTGGTGGTCTGGCATGTGTAAGTACGACTGACACAACTACTCATTCATCATACTCTGTCTGGTCATAGTGTGCTGTGGTGGTCTGCATGGTGTAAGTGTACCGTTGACACAACTACTCATTCATCATCATACTCTGTCTGGTCATAGTGGCTGTGGTGGTCTGCATGATGTAAGTGTACAGCTGACACAACTACTCATTCATCATACTCTGTCTGGTCATAGTGGCTGTGGTGGTCTGCATGGTGTAAGTGTACCGATGACACAACTACTCATTCATCATACTCTGTCTGGTCATAGTGGCTGTGGTGGTCTGCATGGTGTAAGTGTACAGCTGACACAACTACTCATTCATCATACTCTGTCTGGTCATAGTGGCTGTGGTGGTCTGCATGGTGTAAGTGTACAACTGACAGAACTACTCATTCATCATACTCTGTCTGGTCATAGTGGCTGTGGTGGCTCTGACATGGTGTAAGTGTACCAGCTGACACAACTACTCATTCATCATACTCTGTCTGGTCATAGTGGCTGTGGTGGTCTGCATGGTGTAAGTGTACAGCTGACACAACTACTCATTCATCATACTCTGTCTGGTCATAGTGGCTGTGGTGGTCTGCATGGTGTAAGTGTACAGCTGACACAACTACTCATTCATCATACTCTGTCTGGTCATAGTGGCTG